ACCTATGAAGTGTTTTGATGAGTATAATCCTAGGTAGACCAGGATGATACTCTATATGTAAATGATGTTTTGATTATCTTTTTGTATTAGTGGTTATTGTAGTAATCTGTAGTGTGTAGGTCTACATGGGGGGCGGGGCTCATTACCCCGGCGTGTCTCTGGCGTCCATGTAGGACCCCCCCTTGCTAAAGACCACCATGCTGTCCCTTTTGCACATCTTGGGACACTGGTGCGAAGCTAAAACAAAAAGGGGTTAATCATCTACGGTCTAGGGGCCGACTAACCTCTCACTTAGGCTTCGGCCGAGCTTCCTGATCAGTCTGAAAATCTCCGGATAGCGGTGTCGGGGTCGAAATCTCCGGCGTAGCCGTAAATGCTTCGCGCTGCCATACGACGGTTCAGCACTAGATGTCTGGAAGTATGGACCTTTTTTAATCAATCAAAAGGTAAAAATCCCAAAAACATGTTTTCTATAGCATATGTCTATTGTGCTTGTATGTACACAATATATGTTTATTGGTTGTCTAGTGTCTATTAGTGTCAAGATTGTCTATATATACTAACAATAGAGTGAGAGCATTTAACCCGTGAAATAACAAATACTAGTCAACGTGGAAAAGTCAAATAGACACAAAAGAAAACAATGGAATTAGGGTCTACTAAAGTGTATTAGTTAAATATCTATTTCACGAGTTTAATAAATCCACTCTATATGTCTATTGACTGTTTAGTGTCTATTTGTGTCTATATTCTTGATGGAAGGGTCCATTGAAACACATGTCTACATATACAAAAAAGATACTCAAAATATGAGTGCATTTATTGTGTGTTTTCTGCAATATCATACGTTATAAGCGGACCACTGCATGTTGAAATGGGGGTGGGGCTCCTTAAATCCCCCAGAAAGTATAGAGTAGGCACTTCACCTATGAAAGAAAATATCACGCAACCTCTCCTTTCAGAAAAGAACAAATCGATTTAACACGAAACCGTCTTTAGCATAGTAACCACCCCATCAGTACCAAACATACTTTACCTACCTCCCCCTGGCCGTCTTTGGCGTAGTAGCCCATCTCAAGCACATCAACAAGTTTGACTCAGTCACCACACCATAAGTTTCAAACATACTTTACATACCTCCCCATGGCCGTCTTTGGCGTAGTAGCCCATCTCAGGCACATCAACAAGTTTGACTTGATTACATGGTGCTGGAGCTCCCACATGACCTTGAAACAAAATTTCTGATTTAGTTCTCTATTAAAATATGATACTGTGACCTGGGTTTCATAATTCCATGCAAGGTGGTAAACGCGTTTTCGTTATGTCATCCAACAAATGCGGCCACGACGTTTTAGTGGGCAAATTCATTTATTTATATACCTGTTGAGAAATCACTAAGTCGTTGCATCGTCACAATAGCTGTTGTCTCTGTCTGGCCATATCCTTCCTGGAGCTAAAATGCAAACATCGTTACTAATGTCATTATGGAAAAACTCGCGCGATATTATTATTAAAGATTGGTCGTCACTTCCCTACCGTGAGGGAGCCATGTGCGCGCATTTCGATTGGATAAGCAGTGATTTAACGCGCTGGGATTGGTTTGAAGGAGGTCTTTAATTCCGTACTGTAAGGTTACCGTGTCCGAGCGTTGGAAGTTGCGCGCTGTTATTGGTGCCGTGTGCTGTTTTGCGTCATAAACAATCAATCGTAAAGACAAAACAAGAATACAAAAATTCTTACATAGCATCCCATGACACATCTGATAAACGTGGTAACATTGGCTGACAGTGGTGCTGATCCGCACGTGATGATACGCACGTTACCTCCAAGAAGGTTCTAGATTACAGTACAATATAACAGTAAGTATAATTTTAGACTTGAATATAGAGTTTCTCGTACTGTAATTGGTTGAATCACTGCCCGAGCGGTGATCATAAAGTTTTCCAAAGTTGGCCAGAGCCAAAGTAAAATGCTAAAACGTATTTTTATCGTGAATTTCGTCTTTTCTCTTCAAGTCTATAATCATTGACACTTTAGACGTATCGCATTAACATCGTCGTTTTTTGAGTATCCCATGAGGTAGGCAGACAGTTGCGGTCTTGGGTGCCCAGGAATCCCTTTCCTGCCTAGAACTTAAAATAGAGTTTCTGAGTAACTTAGATTGACATTTACATTGACATGTCGTAAAGCATTTCCGCACATTTGTAACACGAACGCGCGAATAGACGGCACGACTCGTAAAAACATCGAAGCTTATAACACAACCTTTTCGTATAATAACTAATATTGATTTACCTGGATCTTTTTGAATACCAAGCGGTCCCAAATAGTGTTCTTTCGAAGGATGTTTCTAATATATTCAATAAAATGCAAAGTTAACGCAGAGAACATCACATCATAATTTAGTAAGTACGCTGAAACATATGTTGCCTTGAAGGCTACCTGTGTTATTTGCCACTATCCGGCACAAAGATCTACTGTGGAAACTAAAACAAGGTCCATCCCTCCTCTCCTCTCTTCTTCTCTCCTTTCCTCCAACGTTTTCGCTGAAGGGACACGGCTAAGGATTAGGCTAGGCGCTTGGCTACCAGGAAGCCTGACAAATTATTTTGCTGTACCTTTTGAGATCTTGTTGTTTGGAGTGCATTGCAATATCAAATATCCACTTCTTTAGCTTGCTTCTCAGGACCTGAGCTGTGACCTAAAAATATGGAAACCAAACTGAAGGGTTAAGAAAAACAGATTTTTCTGGTCTGATTTTGGCGTTCATTTTTCAGAGGAACCAAGAGTGGCAAGGGATTTGAATTTACCTCTTTTTTCAAGGGTTTATCTGAGTTAGCCACGCCCTGACCTTGATCAGCCCAGAGGTTGTTTCAGGGTTTGATCTGTGAGTTAGCCGTGCCCTGATTTAGATCAGCCCAGAGGTTGTTTCAGAGTTCAATCTGTGAGTTAGCTGTGCCCTGACTTAGATCAGCCCAGAGGTTTTTCAGGGTTCCATCTGTGAGTTAGCCGTGCCCTGACTTAGATCAGCCCGGCCATAGGTTGTTTGAAGGTTCGATCTGAGTTAGCCGTGCGTTGGTCGTGGCCTGACTCAGATGAGCACAGAGGTTGCTAGTTTCAGAAATGTAAAAATTTGAAGGTTGAAACTTAATTTGTAGTTTACTCACTTTGTCGTAAATAACGTTCAATAGGCGTGGGACAGCGGAAAAGACTGTGGGTCTGAATACGCAAAAAAAACAACAATAAAATGCATAACTCGTACACTTAAAGTGCACCTAAATATAGCCCCTTCAGTAGAAAACAAAACAAAACTGAAGAATTAAATGCTTTTTTATTGTTTTCCGTTGTGTTGACGTAAGAAAATTCAATTAGCCCCCTAAACTCAATTAGCCCCCCCCCCCCCTAACATTTTGGCTGGATCCGCCCTTGTAAGGTTTATATTGCTCACCTAGACGTCATTCGGTCTTCATTAAATATATAGGGGATATAAATATACAATAAGGGAATATAGTTGGAATTAACAGTAGATTATCCAATCTCATGAGAATTGGAACCTGTTGTTTTGTCCCGCAGATGGAGCTGCATTTCATAGTGCTGCAATGGGTCTATAGAAATGTTTTTTAAAATTCAAGAAAAGCTGTACTAAGACTCCATAAAAGAACTGATACCAACTCAAGAAAGACATAAATTCAGTGAATGAGGTCTATTATTACTAACTATGCAGATAAACGTACTTTAGCTCCTGGAAATCTTCCATCAAAGTTTCTCTTTTCCCTCGTGAAAACCCGATTCTCGCTCCACTTGACAGCATCAGAACCTAAAAAATAAAGGTCTTTTAGACACTACTGTCCAGCATGTAATGTATAGTGGCAGAGGGGGACTGGGAAGGAGAGGGGGGAGGAGGTAAAGTTTCAAAAGAGCAAGACAGATAGGGTCTAGGTACTAGTAGTATGAAAGTGCCAGTTCTACATCATACGGGCCCCGTCGGGCTGCCACGGATTCATAGGGGTTTTGAGATCATATGTTCTATTTTTGGGGCTCTTCATACAGAGAGAAATTTCAAAGTGTTTTTCTAGTTTTCGCTTGATCTTTTCATCGGCGTGATTCAGTTGGATTCACCTCAATGCAACTGTCGCTGTGATATGCAAATAATGAATAGACGTCATGCATCATGAGGAATTTAATTATATTATATTCATTTTGATCTCGTATTTTGGACAAAAATCTTTGACAATATTTTAGTATTATATTTTAATATCTTATATATATATCAGTGCTGAACTGAACTGTAACTGAACTGTAATGATCGGTCATTCCTAGAGGGCTTTACGCGTCGTCTGGTTGATTTGAGACTACAACGTTGGATCATGTCGCTTTTGCGTTAGCGGTGAATTGTACACTGAGTGCCGTAAGTAATATGAAGTGTTATGTTGTGTATTACATATTAGTAGCAAAGATTGAAGCTTCAGCACTGAACATTATTTTGTCTCCCTACATAAATATGATGATAATTGGCTTGAACCGCTGTGTCCCAGCTCAGCTACTTGGATAAACGAACCCAACCAAAACAAAACAAGATCCCCCAAATATAAGGGGAAAAAATGTACGAAATATTAGATATTTGAAAGTTACTTTCCAGCAAACAATAGACTTACTTTACTTTGCGGAAGGAAACGAAGTTAAAAATTTCGTGTGCACATTATTGGCATGAATCTTTACTTACAAAATAACGATATACAATATACACTTACAGTCAAACCACCTCAAGCGTGAACACGTACATACATACATACATACATACATACATACATACATACATACATACATAC